CAGAAAACTGACCGAATAGAATGTCTTTTGCTTCACGGATTTTATTAAGCACATACAATTTATTATTAATTTTAGCAGTCATTTTAAAGAAATAAATAATATTAGTATAAATCTTATATTCGATTCTATTAATATAAAATTTAAATTTATTGTCGGTCAATACCTTCCATTTGATTAACCTATTTTCTAATGGAACACTTATTGTTTTAGCAATATCTTCTTTAATTGTCCTTTCGACGACAAAACGAATTGATAATTTACGAAACAAAATGTATAACTAACTGCTTGTAAATATTTGTGATGTCACTCGTAAACTTGTAGACTTGTAACCTTCAACAAACGGGGCCATTACGCTAGTGAGTGAGTGAGTGAGTCGTCAGTGCGGTGACCGGTGACGCGCGCACGGCACGGCCGGTCCCGCCGGTCGCCGGTCGCCGGTCGCCACGCTGCTTACACGAAGTGAGCGCTGTCTAATACGCGTTATCTGTCGTCTCCGTGATTTAAAGCACGGCGCTAGTGTCTTGCTGAATTTATAGATACTGCATTCATCGAAAGATGGCACTGTTGTTAATAAATTTGTTTTGTATTATTATGTGAAACTTTATGGAGTCTACACAACATTCAGTATGCTAATTCTTATTTGCCTTCTGCGTTGTCTCACATCCGCTTACAGTAGGTGGACAGTCTACAGCTACATTATTCGATAAAGGAACGTTTTTGATGATGATAATTAAAAGATCTGGGGGAATTTTGATTCCTTTCAGAAGAAATAGAATTGCAGGCGGTATTATTCACATAAAAAAACTAGTTAATCTAGTATTAACTTTTCGGCAGCGGCTTTGCCCGCTCGGTCCCGTATATTGATAAAAGAAAACCGTCGTGTAGTTTAAAAGATCACAGCGTAAAGACAGCGGGAAGCGACTTTGTTTATTACTTCTATAGATAAAACTCAAGTGCCATGATATACCTAATTCGGAGTATTGAATAAGCTCTAGGCTATCGCAGTCGCAAGCCAAAGTTCACGATGACAGTCAACTAAACTGACTGTGTGTAACAGATACAAGTATCTGTCTAAATTTAAATTAACAATAACGATAAACAAAACATAATGTAATGGTATTATTTATTAAAGGCATGTTTATTTTTTTATGATAATGCCGCGATGACGCAGCGGCCCGAAGAAGCAGATTATAACGAGATCACGTGAGCGAGAGTACTTATGTGACGGCTCGATAGTGAATCACCTCTGTCTCGACCCCATCTCAATTTTACTTATTGCACTCGTTTACCCACTTATAATATTTTTATTTATCTCTATCGCCATTGGTTATCTAGGACAGATATTTGCATGGCAGGAAAGCCACCTCGTGTGTACTGTCTTTTGTTTTTTCTCTATAATGTATCTTATGACGCGTGCTATTTCCTAGGACTTTGGCTCACATGCCGCTGCGGGTATATGCAGAGTGCATATAATCTCATTCTCATATTAAATTCGGTCAAAACAGATCCGTTAGTCGGACGCTCCGTCCGGTGAATTCCGAGCATCTTTCTCCAACATCACATTTTAGTTCGCGTATTAGCCCCTTACAAATATATAAAGAAGAAAAGAGTGTTGACGAATCTTTTCTTTGTGCTTCGGGGAATGCTTCATCAACTCATACACGTCTCGTATTTCACCCATAAATTCAAATGTCCAGTCGAAATAAATGTATGTGCAACTTAATAAAAAATATATATAAAGTAATTGGATTTTTATTAATCCTGGATAAAAATTGAAGTCCCGTATTTTTTTGCACATTTAACCCTATTTTTGATTCTAAAAGTCTGTAAATAGTGTGACAACCCTATACTTTGTCCCAGCCGTGACGTGCTAGACCTGTATAGATTGCAATAAATCAACTTTGGCACATTTCTTTATTGTGATAATAAATTATTTATAGTTATATCATTGTGACAATAACGAGGCTCATAATCGTAAACCAATGTTATATATAATAAATTAAAAACTCTAACAACTTATTTTATTTTGTTACTACCTTTTGCCCGCGATTTCGTCCGCGTAGCATCGTTACTTTTGCAGCATTTCTAAAAACACAAACATTATTTTTAAAGACCTAGTAGCGCTATCTATCGGATCAGCTCTTTTTATGTTTTTTTGTTCAAAAATCGATTTATTTGTTTGTAACAAAGAGCCTGTTCACTAATGACAAGATTTCCATCTTAAAATTTGCAGAGTCCCATACAAATTTCCCTAAAAATGTTTAGGAGGTTAGGGAAGATTTCTATAAAATTTTGATGCAAGTATTTTTAAACAAAGAGTCTGTATACCAACTTTCAGCTATTTACCTTGAAAACTGAAGATAGTCCCGTACAAACTATTATCCCCTCTTTTAGGGGGTTGGAGTCGGATTTTCAAAAGAAAATGTAAGATTTTTCTTTAGTAACAAATCCTATTAATATTATAAATGTGAAAGTTTCTTTGTTTGGATGTTTGTACGTCAATCACTACGAAACTACTGAACGGATTTTGATGAAATTTGGTATACAGATAGGGTGTTAGCTGACTTAGATAATAGGATACTTTTTATCCCACTAAACATTTCCCTAGGGTCCACGCGGGCGAAGCCACTGGCAAAAGCTAGTAGTGTTATAAATTGGACGCATATGCCCAATTTATGGCTTTAAACACTGCGGAAACTTCAATACAAAATTTCATCTCTTTTTGTGGAATGGGGGCAGATTGAAAAAAGTTGATGCGTTAGCTACAAAGAGTCCGCATACCAAGTTTTAACTTTCTGCCTTGAAAACCTGGAAATGTTCCACAAAAACTTCCATCCTCTTTTTTTAGGGAGTGGGGGGAATAGAAAGTAACTTAAATAGCCTATGACACTCTCCAGCCCTTCAACTATCTCCACATATAAAATCATACTTATCAGTTGCTCCGTTTTGACGTGAACAAAATATACACACTTTCACATTTATAAGTATAGATAATCTTTATTTTAGGTTACAGATGGAAATAGAGTTATTCAAAGTTATTTTTGTACCCACGGGTGGGGCAAGGTATGGGCTTAGATAATAGGCATCAAAGTTGAGAAGTGGGGCTCGCTATCGTGATATTTTGAGTTTTGGGGTAACAAACACCACGCATACTTAATGCAGATTTAAGACATATGGTTTTCTCATAGAATCCATTGCCAGTTCTGGACCAAATTAATATGGGACCTCACGGCGAGCACTAGCTTTCAAACATAGAATCATCAAAATCGATCTACCCAGTAAAAAGTTACAAGGTAACAGACTTGAAAAAAACCTTTTTGTTGTCGGTTTAAAAAAGTCATCATCCCTATTAATATAATTCAATAAAAAACAAAACTAACTAGTGGTACCAGAATTCTATCTAGCAGATTGATATTGAAATAATGTTATCATTAAAAATATCTTAAATTGCTACTGATTGATTTTTTAAATACTTATTTCAGCGATTGTGTAAATTATACCCTTAAGACACCGTCCAACTTCAAAGAAAGGTACATACTCGGTGTGAATGTGCTCGAGGCCCGTAGGTTTATGTGCACACACGAAATCAGCCTCGCTCGGCCTCTGTCCGTTAAAGACGCGTCGTAAATACACGAAACAATGAGCAAATGTCGTTTTAATGTCGTGTTCGTAGATAAGGATTTTATTAAGATGATGTGAAAATGCTTTTCGTATGTATTTAGCCATTAATATAATCAGTGGTCCAAAAAAAGGTTCACGTCTCTAACAATATCAAAAATAACAGACTTACATCTTCACTTTCATCCTCATTACACTTCTTCAATAGTAGTTAACTCAGATTTTAAATGTAGTCTAAAAATAAAAATCATGTTTCTAACTTTTAAACTGATACTTTCGTACAAACTTTCAATCCTTATTCCACCCCCCTAGAGATCGAATTTCCGTAAAACTTTTGTAGCGAGTGTTTTCTCCACAAATAACTAACTCCACTGACTAAAGACCATTGTAGGCGATGATGAATCACTCATTGAATAAAATATTTCATTTGTGTAAATTTATATATTTTTATTATTAAGTATCTACTCTAGTTGTAAGGTATATTTACTTATCTTTAACAACAAAACTAAGTCAAATAAGTATATTTGATCTTTAGTTTAATTTGAGTTCGCACACTCGTCTTCTCCATATTTCTGTATGGTGCCGAGACCTGGACTATTAAGGCGGCTGATAGACGGAGAATCGACGCGTTTGAGATGTGGTGTTGGCGTCGTATGCTGAGAATACCATGGACAGCTCACCGCACAAATGTCTCTGTCTTACATCAGCTTAAACTAGAGGAAGCACAGCGCCTGTCTTCAACCTGCCTGAGACGCATAATACAATACTTCGGCCACGTTGCTCGACGAGATACCGATAACCTGGAACGCTTGATGGTTATGGGGAAAATAGAGGGGAAAAGACCCAGGGGCCGGAGTCCTAAACGTTGGTCGGACCAGGTCTCGGAGGTACTTGAGATCCCGGTCAGTGCTGCACTCCACCAAGCAGCTGAGCGAAACCGATGGAGACGGATGGTTGGCGAGATGACACGGAGTCACGATCCTCAGCAGTGAGGAAACGATAGAGAAGAAGAAGAGAGTTTAATTTGATATAAAATTTGTTAAAAATGCCCAGTGGGCGGGAATTTATGGGCGCTTATCGGGAAAAAACCCAATTTGTCCAAAACTTCCGGGCATATTCCCATCACTGGGTAGGAACCACCAAAAGTCTGTATCGTTGCCGCTAAGCACTGGATTTTGTTATAAGTGACGTATTATCTATAGTATAAAGGAATTATCTATGCACTGACCGGACCCTCGATTCGTCTTTTCGCCTGCTTTATGGAACAAATTAGTTCTGTAGTATTTGTTTGTTAGTGATTGTTTGGATCAATTTAGACTTAAAAACCCATCATTCTAATTTTATGTAAAAATGTTTTTTTTTTTTTTAATAAAACAGCATATTAAAATAACAAATATCTTTATTGTTTTATCTTAAAAATACACTTACTTAGAATTAAACTACTATCACACGAGTTTAAACAAACAGTGTCGAGTTTTATGCTTATAAAATTAATAGTAAAAAATCCACAGATCGATGTAGAGATGGAATGTTGACCGAATTATGTTAACGTCGTTATCTATATACTTATTATTTAAATAAATCATTTCGCCGATATAAACGTCAATACAAAGAATAATATGAACGTGAATATGATAATATGCAGAATATCACTATAACCGAAAGATCATGAAGTTCATTATGAGCGAGAAATACTTTACGATAATAACATAAACGAGTGCCGCGAATCTTGCAAACAAACATTCGCCAACGTCACGAATCAATCTCGAAATTCGAGTTCGAGTTCTAGTTTCATTTAACGATCCCGACGAAGTTCATTATAAAGCGGCCGCGGCAAAACGTACCAATGTAAACGCCACCTCGACCATTTTAAACTGTCGCAAATTGACCGGATTGCTGTTTGTTCGGGCGAGGTTTGATGGCGGTATATTATGGTGGTATATTACACGAGCGGGTATGAGGCGGCGGAGGCGATGCCGCAGTGGTTGCCGCGGTTGCGCGCCATCTTGATGTAGCCGAGGTCCCCCCACGAGCGGCCCCACGAGTTCTTCACCAGCCAGTAGTCGCCGCCGGTCTCGTCCGTGCCGTAGCCGACCACCAGCACCTGGCATCAGCACAACGACACACTCGTATACACCTCGCATTTGCCACGAGCTTGCATGCAAACTCTTGGTAAATCGGGGGTTAACTAAGCATTATACAAATGGGTTAAAAAGTACGAATCTTAAGAGCGATTCATTTCTCCCCTCCTCTCCCGTTTGAGACGTCACAACAAATGAATACGAATTGGAGTATGGCGACTCTTCGATTTTTATATTATGAAGACTTCAGCTCTTTAGAATCTGAATGTTGCATATATGATATTTACTTATTTTATACTTGTTTAGAAAAATGTAATTGGAATAGTTTTAAAACGTGTATTTTTTATTACTTTACATTATTGAAACATTTCGAATCCTTTGCGGGCTCCACGATAAAGAAACCGAGATATTTGTCGTTTTTAATGCTTTTAAAGATAAAAACTAATAAAAATAAATATTTCCGGCGTCGATATTGTCTACCACATAACTATCAAACCGACCTTTTGATAAACTATATTAATATAAATCGATTAATAGCGAGCTACAACCGAATGAGTTCTCATTAATTAGTTCCGACTGACTAATGAAATTCCTATTTAACGTCGATTCGCAAAATAAGCGTGTTCAAACTGGATAGCTTTAATGAATACGATAAAACTATATTAACGAGAATCGGAAATTATATTTCATAATTAACTACTCGATTTATTTTCATGGAGTAATAGTGTTACGGTTGGCGGTTATAATATCAGACAGCTTTGGGGAAGTGTATGGCATTTTGTTGGTGCTTAACGCTTAGGTGTTGCCAGTTTTAGGCGTCGCCTGCACATTTATTTGTGTAAACACAATTAATTATATTCATAAACAGTTATATATTTGACAGATATAATAAATGTATAAATAATAATAATAAAACAATACAGCGCCATTTATACGTGAACACATGCCGCTTTCCTCGAGTATTATTAGGTAATTAGATACGTGACCCGATTCGTGCTCCCGATAACACGGGACGTAATTATTTGTATACAGAATTCGTTACATGTAATCTGTTATTAAACGAGGGCTCGTAAATAATCAATATTTGTTTACCAAATTTTACAAATCCTAGCATGATTATTGGTCGATTTTTTTTTTATTAATATAACTCACTATTACCATACGGAAAGGGAAAACTTTCGAACCCGGAAAAGGCCAAGGTTGTATTGTATTAGATAACAATACAAATAGGTGAACTTGGACAAATTCAAGTAACTAATAAAAAAGCGGTACTGACCCCGTGGTCGAGGTTCTCGGAGGAGCAGTTCACGTCGTAGTAGACGCCGGTGGAGTAGAACTGGAAGGACTCCTGCGAGGCGTCGATGGCCACGGCCACGGGCCCGACGGTGGCCACGGCCTGGCGCAGCTGCTCCTCGTCGCCGGCCTCGATGTCCACGAAGCCGACGTCCTCGGCGCCGGTGTTGGCCGGGTTGTACCGGCACTTGTCGTCGACGCCCTCGTACGGGTACGTGTTCTCAGTGTCGATGCCGTGGTTGTCGCGGATATACTTGAACGCGTTGTCCATGAGCCCGCCGTTGCAGCCGTTGTTGCCGTACGAGGAGGAGCAGTCGATCAGGTTCTGCTCGGACAGCGACACCAGGTACCCGCTCTTGCGGAAGTGCTGCCCCTCCAGCGCGCCAGTCTGCAAACAACGAGCCACGTGTCGGTTACATTCGACGATTGGGACGAAGGTTCCACTTCGTCAAGTATACAAGTTGCACTTTTAAACGAGTGGAGTTCAAATGTTTCGAGCTACAAACAAAAAGTCTACCGACTACTTTCATTTGCATTCTCGGTTCCCGGTATTAACGTGACAGTTTCCGCTCGTGTGATAACCACGGTATTTCCACATTTGGAGCGACCAGAGAAAATGTAGACAGTGAAACTAGCTCCAAAGCCTTATAGGGGGCCTGTGTACACGCATATACCTACACAGTCTACCGGAACTATACTCTTGATCGAGAATGTTATCGCTCTAATTCCTTTACAATACAATATTACTCTTTCAATGTCCCATCTGTTCTTTAGTCAATGAGTCATCTTTTTCTCATGAAATTTATTAAAATTCACAGAAAAATTGTGAATAATTAATCAGTTCCACTAATTTCAATCTGTTATTACCATATTTGTTATATACCCATTAGAAAACATAAGTTTATTGCTCTCAAACATATCTAGTATTAACAGAGTACAACCCGAGATAACATAGAAAAGTTTATTTTCCATATTGAACCGACCAGGAATGTTGAAATGGTAAAGTTCTAACACCCTTGTTTATAGTCGAGTAAAAGTAATTATATAAGCAAATATTTTCACAAATAAACAAAAATTTGACAGCTCGGTGGCATAGTGAATAAACGCCACGGCCCGCGATCGTTATTGTTAAGCAACTTTCGCAAAGGTCGATCACAGGATGTGTGGCCAAAAATTATTATCTCGAGCTACTCCGCGCTTCGGTAAGCACCTTAAGCCGTTGGTCCCGGCTGCATTTGCAGTAGTTATTGCCCTCCTATCTACATTGGGCCAGTGTGGAGGATCATGACCCATCCTCCATAATCATCCATAATACCTGAGCCCCTGCAATGGGGACGTTAAAGGCTAATAATAAAGAACTGTTAACAGCTAATAATAATTCTTACTTCATTCAAATTCTTGTTATTAGGTAATATAACAAAGAAAATTACAACATATTCTCAAGTAATGACGACGTCTCCCGACTGTATATTTTAAAAGACTCTTATATAAGTTTGCATCTAGTTTTATAGAATTAAAAATGTGTATACATAAAATGGGACCTCTAAACAAACACTTATTATCCGATGTGTATAGCCAACAACGAAACAATCGATGTATCCAAACATTAGATAGACTTATAATCAACAGACAGTCCGTTCAGGAAATTAATTTTGTGATAATTACGCAGGGAATTTGTTTTTGGTAAGAGACCGAGCTCCGTTATCTGCAAGTGTTATCGTAGGTCATGGACTGGGCAGAGATAAACAATGTTCTTAAACAAAATAATTTAGTACATTCAAATTTCTTTGTTCCAATCACTGGTATATGTTACGCGTCGGTGCGCAGTTTGTTAGCATAACAATAAATGTTTCACTGCGTACTTATTTATTTATTTAATTAATTATGGAATTTATGCAGCGACAAATTATATTGAATTTGAGATATTAACATGCATTAAGAGGAAGCCACAAACGATAAGTCACACGTAGCGCTTTAATAAATAAATGCTATGCTTTAAGCAATGAATACCTACTTGTATGACCAATAAATACGAGACCAAATATTTATTTCATAACGGAGCTTTTACAAAAATAGCATTATGTTATACTGGAGCATGGTTGCCATTGCAAATTGTTATTTTGAAAAAATATATAATATTTATGACGTAAACGAATTATTAAATCTCATGACCATTCCGTGCAAACAGTTAGTCACCGTGTGTGTGCGTGCTTTAATGTAATTCTAGTGTAATATAATATGATAAGCTCGATGAAGATATCGCGCCTACACTGCTCCGATAGCCAAGTCCACATCCAGGCTCACCCAGTTCCGAGAATATGCACAAGAGACAAGAACCCGGTAACGATCAACGTCATCTATCATAGTCACGCGATTATAACGAGACTGCGTGCTGATGAAAGTTTTTTTTATCTAAGTGACAAGTTTTAACTCTGTCATTAAAAAATAATCAACCTAATGTACTACCCCATTTAGTCCGCACGTTATCATGTCCAGAGACAGGGAAATTGGATCCGTCAAATTGAACGTGATATTTTTCAAATAATGAAAAATACATTCAGGGTATAGTTTATGTATCGATAATAATATAAATGACAATACGATTACTAATCGGCGAGTACATCGTATGAGTCACCGGGTCACGGTGCCTTTGTTACAGTTTACGGGCTACAAACTACATCGTTCCGGCGTCAACACTTGAACCAACATGGCTCATTTATTACACGGAAATTAATTAGTGTATCGGTATTTGTGCCATTCAATGGGAACAATGAAATCAGTTTCATTCGTCTTGTGTGGAACCATATCAAATTAGAGCCACTCGGTTTACTTTAATCTCTATTCTAATAGAATCATAATAGAATATTCAAGGACGAGCCTTTCCTTAGAAATAGCTGATGGAAAAATTGAGCCGTGTACAAACTTCTATGTAAACTAACATTCTTACAGTCAGTTGCACAATCGTCCATTAAGCTCTATAAAATTTGTATGGGTAATGTTGTTCTAAACTTATGAATAATTTAAAGGACGTTTGTGAAACTGTTACACTCGTATTTAAGTATTTACTCTAAACATTTTTAAACACATAATCAATAAAGCACGTATACTAACTGTCAATTAGCTAGTTGCACAAACGTACATAAAATTTTTCATTAGTTTAAAGCAGTGATTCCCTAAGTGGTCCAGGTAGACCCCCAGGGGTCCACGAGGGATTCAATGGGGGTCTACGTTGGCGTGAAATAAAAAATATTTCCATCGATAGATCTTCACATTTTGGACGAATTTTGGGAATATAGTAAAAATGTTTTTGAAAGCAGCAAATTTTTTAAAATGGTCTACGAGTAAAAATTGTTTGCGAACCTCTGGTTTAAAGCGACATTACTCATACAAACTTGACATTCATTAGAGCTTAAAGGCGTAATTAAACCTTAACGGACGTTTATACAACTGACCGAACAACTAATAATAATCGTACTCAAACTACTGTGAGTTCCTACTTCATCCAAATTCTTGTTAATTTGTTAAAACTAATTGGTAAAGTAATGACGTTTACTGACCGTGCTGAAGGACCAGCAGGAGCCGCACTTGCCCTGGTCCTTGATCTCGGTGACGGCGCCCAACTTGCGCCAGTCCACCTGCTCCGGCAGCTGCGCGTGCGCCGGCGGGATGAACGTGGCGCCGCGCGACTCCGCGCCCTTGTACAGGCCCTTGTTGTGTCTACACGCAACACGGAACACGCAACACGATACGTTACAACCTCCCGACACTAACTCTTTACGTACTCTACGACTTGTTATTAAAGGGGAATCTAACTTTAAACCATTACTAAATATGATTTTTCTACTAACAAACACAAAACAAAAATATATTAAGTGCCCCCTTTTTATTAAAAATATTTACATATATATTTTTTCATTTATCAATTAATTAATTCTAATTTCACTGTTTGTTTAATGTGATTTCATAGTTAATTTTATTTTGTTTGTATCGTTTGTGTAATTTTGAATTTATAACGACAAAAATAAAAGTTAAAATTATTTCCAGGAAAATTATTAGATTTTTATCCAATAATTATAATGATCATTATGTAAGAAAAAAATTATCTTCACAACTCTCACTGACTTCTCCACAACTCCATGGAGAGTGTTGAGGAAAGTAGGGTATTTACATTCGGTGACGAAGAACAGTTCATATGAAACTTTCGATTTAAAAGTCGTATTTAAAAGCGACTTCATTTGTCGCTGTAAAACGATCGAACGTGTTCGTCGTGTGTCATCGCAAAGTTTGTTATATATTTACAAACCGATGGCAGTTTCTAGAGTGCTCGATTAGACTGTAATTTAAATTTTAATTTGTGATCGAGGACTGACACGGCAAATCTAGATATTTTTCCTGCTATTGTTATTTATAGTGATGTTTTTATAAAGATAAGGAAAATTACATACTAAATTACACTGAATCAGCATCGGTTACGATCAAATATTCTCTATAGAGACAGTATGCTTTCCATTTTGTAACATTTTTATTTATTTACACTGATTATGTATAAAAAAACGTTAAAGCAAAGCGTAAAAATGATTTATTATATACCCCAGTTGTCGGCATAATGTACGATATATCCACCGATTCGCGTTGAATTAATTATATAAAGTCTATATAAGATTATATTTCAAGTAATAACATGTGGCCCACGCGGTGTGACATTCACGGTGGCGTAGACGAAGGGGGCGGCTCCACTGTTACATTACAATAATGTTTGTAATAATAATCGGCGTGATTAATTCCGTGGCCGTCGATTTGACTCAGTTACTGTTAATAAATGTATTTAAATTCTTACATGTGCACTGCCTTCAAGTACAACAATTCTAATCTTATCGTCCGCGACGTAAGACTGACCGCTGATCAAGTTCACGACGTTGCTTCATTATTTATATTGACGTTTTAGTGGAACGAGTAACAATTCATGAAACTTCGTAACATTAAATGAGGGAGAACTCAACATTTTGGGAATTGGGCTGTGGTGGGGAGTTGGACCCTGTCGTCACGTATACGATATCATTGCAGATGCAATTGCAGTATTGTAAATTTTGATTAGATAATTACAGCTTTTATGATGTTCCTGATTCTTCATAAATTATTTAGTTTTAAAGTTGTTTAATTTCTTATTATTTGCTAAACAATTAAGAGTGAGTGCTCACTTGGAAGTCCTATTGAATCCATTCATGATGTGCACGAACTCGTGGTGCAGCATGTCGCCATACTTGTTTTGCTGCAGCTTGAAGGTGACCTGCCCCTTCTGGTAGAGCTGGTTGTGCTTCGCTATGCGGTGCTTATTCTCAGCGTAGATCTTCATGCGGAACCTGTCCTCTATGTCGCTGTCGTACTTTTTATCGTGTTCCAACTAAATAAAGAAACGGGTCACCAGTTATTTATTGAAATATGATTACGTAACCTCTTCATCGTATGATATTTGTATAAATATAAATAAATATTAGACAACATCACATACATTGCTTAGATTTCAAGATGAGTAGCGAAGGTACCACAAAACCCAGACGCGTATATTGTCAATATATAGAAAAGTCAATTTTCTACATAGATCCGATCGGGAATCGAACCTGGGTCCCTAGCGATGGCCCCACCTTGAAACCGGCGTGTAAACCACTCCGCTACGGAGGTCGTCAGATAAGAAGTATTGTTTGTGTGAAAAGAATTGTGATAGCAATAATTAAGTCTTTATAAAGTGTGAGTGCGACTTTAAAAACATACTAACAGCAGATGCTGCATGCATGGAATTGTCGGATATGTGCCTCAGACACCTGAGTTTATTGAAACCCACAAAGGCCCAACATCGGTGCATTACTTTGATTTTACGGGGATTGGTCGTATATAAATTACTTCTAACGACGCAACGAACAAAAAATATTATCTCATTAGCCAAAAAAATTTCTTAAAAGTAAATAAATTTTTTGAAAACTTTACAAGCCGTTTCAGATCTGATTTCAAATACTGTCCAGTTATAATCCGACGTCATAACCAGAAGTATGAAAAGGGAACAAGTTTCATTTTGAAACGGCGGCATTTTCACATGAGCCTTCCAAGCCCGAATTCGAATTCACTCAAGTGTCCGAAATTCAGGTCATTTAGTGAAGAAATTCTATCGATTCCATTTTTTGTATGTAAATTGATTAAGCAAAACGAAATTGATTAATCATACGTGCCTCAGATATTCTATTCCTGTGTCATTTCGAAACTCACTTCACTTATGTCACGAAACGTTATAACCAATACAAGAAGGGGCGGATGACGCGTTTTGAAGTGGACACGTACACCCGAGTGAATTCGACTTTGGATATTTACAGAATCGCAGGGCTGGTTTGTAAGAGTTCATTTAGATATGACTATTAGAAGCAACTCGTGTCGTATATATGAACGAAAATTGCATAGTCCGTTATCAACAATAACCCACCACGAAACAAACGTAAAGCCTTAGAGTTGAGAGTGACGGTACTTTGGACTACGGGTTCACCTGATATTTTGTAGTGATTTAGAATCACACTCATTAGGATTGTTGGATTATTAACGGTTAGTGTATTACCTTATATGCGTTCCATTCTTCTTTGACGAGGTCGAAGAAGGAAACTGCGCCAACCGCCGCCAACAGACTGAGCCCTACCACAAGCCACTTCATTGTTGCACCTATGGATTTATGAATAAATTGTTATAAGCATCGTGGGTACCTCCACTAAACCTTATGCTCGCTGGGTGTGTCCATGAAGGTCTGTCATTTTAATAGTCTGATGATGATAATGAGGACCTCTATGGCGCAGTAGTTAAGGGCGATCGGCCTGGAGTGGCGAGTTTAAGTAACTTTCGCAAGAGCCAGTGATGGGATGGGTGATCGAATATACAACAAGCTCCTCCATGCATCATAAAGCATGCAGTGGTTAGAGCAGTCGCCCGGATTGCGAAAGGTCAATGGGTTTGAGTCCCATCTCAGAGTGTTAGGGACAAAGTGGATTTTTTAAGCATTTTTCATTAGGAATATCTTTTAAATACTTCGGGTATGTGACGAGGTGGCTTTTACAACGTCTACAAATTTTTGCTGTTGTACCACTCATAAAATACTAGAAATAAAGCTCTATTATGAATGCTACAGATACTGAGTTATGAATTTGAATTTAAACATTAAACAAAACAAAAAGAAAAGGGTAATGAATAAAGGTTTTTCAAGATTGATTGGTTAATAAATATTGATTTTAATTAGTGGTTCCTCCATAATCTTACTGCAATTTTATTTATTTTAACATGCATCTTGCTTTTATTTTGGAACCTAGGATTATATTCCCTATAATTCTATTTTTAGTGCCATCTTGTATTTGTGGCATATTTAAGGAACATAGGTACCCTCTGTGAATATGAAGCTTCTACTGTATTGTAAATAAACAAAGTCACTACAATTTTAAATAATGATACATTATAAATTATTTAGGATCTATCTTTTGTGAATGATGTAAACTATTATCATAAATTCTAGTGGGTAGTTAAGCTATGTAGTAAATTATTCATTTATCGATTGATTAATTTTAAAGAAAGATTTAATTAATTAAAAAGAAATATTTCATTTATGAGGACAAAAATAAATTATTTACAAATAGCACTTTGTTAATAGAAAATGTTGTTGCTATAAAAAATGAGTAAAAAACTCATTATACAAAAAACTATTTTTATTGCGTCATTCAATAAGATATTCTGTAAACAAATAATTGGTGTGCCTTACAGATAAGGGAAAAAAGCGCATAAAATAAATTATACTAAACTAAAAATATGTTGGAACTATTTAGTTTACACACCAAGTTCCTTTTAAATATACTAAAAACAATAAATAGTATAAAACCTACTTCGCATGAATAATATTTACTTGCCTGTATATTTATTATTAAAAAGCGTCACATTACATGTGTCTATTCAAAAAGGTAAAAGTTACGAATAACGTACCTAGTCAAATTTATAACATAAGTTAAAGAACCATTTCTCCGTTGTGCTTACAAAAAAAAAAAAGGAATGACTCAACACAAAGAAAGATGCAGAATACAACAAAGACGTACAAAAAACCAACGCACGCAGGTAGATACGATATGAGTGGATTAAATTAAATACGCTTGAATCATGATTTACTAGAACATGCTATAAAGATTTCGTAATATACTCACCTAAAAGCTTCTGTAAATTTTAATTGTTGTACGAAACTAACAAAACGCTAATTTCGTGATAAAATAATCGTATAGAGTTTGTAGACGAATTATGAAGCGTCCTGCCTCGAACGATATCAACTTGTTTTTGTGGCTTTTTTTCCAAACGAGCGTAGTTTTGAGGGCGACGCGGTTGACACAGAGTAATTACTAGAGATGGACGTTTATACGAAAAGCACTTAATTAAGCGTGCTTTTCTCAATAAGTGCAAAGGCGCTTTTTCAGTTAGAAGAAAAGTATGCTAATGCCTATTAGACATGGGTAGATAATGCCTGTGATATTACAAAAGTAATATCACTTTGCCACGTAATGCAACATCACGCATTACGCGTTAGTTACAAACATCACTGCATCACTCATCACTTCAGCAAAAAAGTCCATAGAAAAAGATAAAATGTAAATATTGTGCAAATGAGTATATATATGTATGTATATATGTATATGTAATACATATACCAATTAATGTTGTAAATAGTTGATTTTTAAATACGCCTGTCTTCCTTAAACAAAGATTGCCAGTTCTTAGCGTAGAGGGTCCCTTTTTTTATTTTGTTTTACATTTGCTTGCGTTCATTACAATTATTAACAAACAATATAAAGTACGTGGCCGAGTATGAAGGGAAATCAACTACATTTTTTTAATATTTACTTAAATTGTAATTTTACGATATGTAATAAGTATTGCAGTTATTATTGCTATTTTTCAATACGACGTGTATTACCTTATATATCACCTTAAACATTACTCGGTCATCTTTTCATTAAAAATCGATCAGGTAATTTGTTACGGAGTGATCACTTCCGTGGAAGTGATGCGTGATGTTTCATCACTATTTGACGTACTGTTTTGCGCATGTCTAATGCTTATTGTACGTCCCGCCATCTATCAAGATATAACTATTAGCTTCAAACAATTTTTCTGTTTAGACATTTGTCTATTAGAGGGCTGCACTTTACATAAATGCACTGTATTATACTATAACGCGTGATATGTAGACTTTTTGCAAATACTTTTTTGGCTCGTTAATCCAAACGCTTTTTTAAACGGAACTTAAAAAAGCAGTACGCTTTTCGTTGGTGAAGTAAGTGCACGTCGTTGTTGAATGTTAATTAATTGCGTAAATTGAATTGTTTGCGTTAATAAATTGCCACTTAAGTAATGACTTTTGTTTATTTCTTAATAAACAATGTAAATAAGTTTTGTTATTAGGTGATGGTGTGTATATAAAACATTCTAAATATTATAGAACTGCATTAGTTTTAAGATTGTGTAAAAAAATGTTGAGAAACTAATAGTATTGTGGTCTTGTATTATACATAAAAACCTTCCTTTTGAATCACCCTATCTATGAATAAAAAACCGCATCAAAATCCGTTGCGTAGTTTTAAAGATTTAAGCATACATATATAGGGCCAGAGAAAGCGACTTTGTTTTATACCATGTAGTGATAACATAATGTTGCACGCTGATTATTAAGATTTTCAAACGTCAGTTGAAAATAAAGCGTTTAAACAATAATCAGTTTTTAAAAAGGCTTATTCATCATTCATAATACGTACCGCCAAGGACTGGAATAGACTGCCAGCGTCTATATTTCCGTCCAATTTTAATATGAATGTCTTCAAATCAAGAGTGAATAGGCTGTTACTAGGTTAATGCGCTATACTACCCAAGGCTTCATCACCACTTACCATTAGGTGGGATCGTAGTCAAGCATTAACCTATAAAGTATAAAAAAAACGTACAACGTAACATTAAAAATTTTAAGCAGTTATTCCCACCTCTAGTAATAACTGTTACGAGGATTGCCATATTATAGAATAGAAAGCCTGATTCCGTGCTTTAAACAATAATCAGTTTTTAAAAAGGCTTATTCATCATTCATAATACGTACCGCCAAGGACTGGAATAAACTGCCAGCGTCTATATTTCCGTCCAATTTTAATATGAATGTCTTCAAATCAAGAGTGAATAGGCTGTTACTAGGTTAATGCGCTATACCACCCAAGGCTTCATCACCACTTACCATTAGGTGGGATCGTAGTCAAGCATTAACCTATAAAGTATAAAAAAAACGTACAACGTAACATTAAAAATTTTAAGCAGTTATTCCCACCTCTAGTAATAACTGTTACGAGGATTGCCATATTATAGAATAGAAAGCCTGATTCCGTGCTATTTTAAAAAGCGTCCAAGTGGTTGAAATCCTTCCCCCTTATTCTGTAACTCTGGTAACTTCTTAGGACATCCGAATTAAAGCGGTCACATATATCTGTAAACTAGCGGTCATAGCGCGATTTTATTATTCTGTAACTCAGTTTTAATCAATCACTAATCCCTAGCCAGTTGCTATATATATTTTTATTTTAGATGAAATTGTGGCACATCTGTTTTATAATCTTTGTCGACCACTCTGTGGCAACGTAATCTATGATATATTGTATTTTGTAAGTGGCATTTCAACATCAAATAGTCTGAAAGTAAACTCGTAACTGTGAACACATTTATTTATTTTACCGATCCTTCGTATAAATAAAGTCAGATAGTAAACTTATCAATTAATTAAATATTAACCTATATACTAATAAATAAAACACATAACATTTCGGTAAAGTGGTGACCCCGACGTGATGATACACACTTTCAACCTAATTTTTTTTTTTTTTTTTTTTACTTTATTGGATCAACAAACAGTTTCACAATAAAATTACTTGAACCAGTAACAAATTAATTACATATATCTTGTGATTGTGAAACCAACACCGTTGACCACAAGTAGCTAAGTACATTTCACATTGTAGTTGAGAGCAACAATAAAGTCAAACATTATTTAGTTTGTGGAATGAGTTTTTAAACTATATACGAGTGCGACGCGGTGTTAATTTCAGGTTACCAATTCCTCAATGATACATTTCTTATAAGATTGCATATTATGATTGAAAATATCAATATTTACAAAATATTTATTATACGTGTCAGCAAGACGATACAAGGGCGAGCGTTTACCAGAGTTCTTGCGGCATTTTTTAGTAGAAAATAATTTAAGTTTGCGGCATGCTCGTTTGCGTGGTCTAACCGGCACCTGATAACATATTCTATTAATTATAGCAGAGCAATCATATTTGTTATGACAAAGATCATATAACATCATGGCGTGCAATTGCAATCTTCTGGATTTAAGTGTGAGAATCTTGTAATTCTTAAGAAGTTGTCAGTAGGACAATTTACTATGGTGGTATTTATAATGTATATGGCGTAAGAATTTCTTTTGCACTTTCTCAAGAATATCGGAGTATTTGTTATAGTATGGATCCCATATAGAAGTGGCGTATTCCAGCTGAGAACGTATTAAAGATTTATATGATCTGAACCACCGCCACAGATTACCCCTGATTCCGTTAAAAGCAATTTTCTCCAGTAATATTCTATGATCAAAGGCTTTTTTGAAGTCGGTGTATACACTGTCAGTTTGTTTGTTATCATCAATATTTTCAAACAGATCAGTTGTATATGCTAACAGGTTAGTGGTGGTAGATCTTTTATGCACAAAACCATGCTGTTGAGGTAATATAGTATAGTGGAGAATTGGATACACCTCATCATGAATTAACCTCTCAAAGAGCTTAGAAAGAACTGGTAGAATTGAAATTGACCTATAATTAGTTACATCTTTTTTAAAACCTCCTTTATGTACCGGTGTAATTCTTGCAGACTTCCAAACTTGAAGCAATGTTCTTAAGGAAAATAGGGGGAATACAATCAGTTCCAGGTCCCTTATTGGTGTCTAATCTTTCCAATCCCTTGAGTACATTGTGTTCTTTCAATACAATATCACTAATTATATTATCGGTTTGCGTATTTATATCCAGATCATATATATCTTCAACCGCAAAGGTATCTGACTCGTTAGATAATTGAAATACTGATTGAAAAAATTTAGAGAACATATTGCATATGTCGCCTGGCTTATCAGTTATACTACCATTATAGATGACAGTGCCAGGTATATCAGATTTATTTCTGCGGTGCTTCATATATGTCCAAAAGTAGTTAACATAATCTTTAATGGTTCTTAAAGTGGTGACCCCAGCAGAACATCAGCAACCTTCAGCATCAGCAACCTTCAGCATCACAACGCAGCCATCACGCTTCATCATCAGTCTCTCATCCTTCATCAGCACAGCCACTTCAGCAGCAAGATGAAGTGACAGAACATCAGACACCAAGGCCCATCACAGCAGCATCGACGACGCTTCCTGGATTCTTGGTACCACTCGACGGCATCATCCCGCCCTGAGCCCACGACCGGACCTCAGTTTACACACAACTCACCGGCGTGGCAGCCCTGCACACCAGCAGCTTCGGTCCCGACGTCACAACCATGGCACTTGCAAGCTCTGAAGCACTGACTGCATACCACCTACTATCAACATGGATCGACCTTCGGTCTTGGGGGAAAGTACTGTGGCGACTGATACATAGCGATATCTAATTCATCGCAGTAACATCGCCACAACAATCGATAGCGAGAAGACTAGCATCGTCACAGCCATCGATAGCAAGACGAACTGCAATAAGTTTCAACAGCAAGTAACGAGATGGCGCTGTACCAATACAAACAGCATAAATTAATAACTACAAGATATTTAGAACAAAGAAACCTACATCACACAGAATAAGTTTAATTACCAATTAACATAATTAGAACGTCCAACCTACATCGGTTGGACCGCGGTCCCCGGGCTAACAACACCTAGCTCGGAGGGAGACAATTATCCTTTAGTCTCCCTGACCCAGTTGTCAACATCACCACAGTAGGAACCAACGTTATAACCGTACGGTTCCTAAAAAATCACTCATCAAAGTTCACTTTCGGGTCGATGTCGTCCGTTCAGTCGGGGGTCGACCCACGCTGCGCCTTCCGGTTCGTGGTCTCCACTCGAGAACCTTTCGTCCCTATCGATTATCGGTTCGTCGAGTGATGTGGCCTGCCCACTGCCACTTCAGCTTACAAACTTTGCGAGCTATGTCGGTTACTCTAGTTCTTTGGCGAATATCCACGTTTCGGATCCTATCGCGTAAAGAAACCCC